TAAGGCTAAGGTGACGGTCATAATACGCTTAAATAGCGCGTTACGTTCGTCAATGATGTGTGACGACCATTCTTCATGATGTGAGCGTGTTACGGTCGTAATGGATGTGTGACGACCGTCACAGCATCAAAATCTGCAGAATTTTGCAGATTAGTTCCTTTTCTTCTGATTTTCATATGTTAGCTTTCTTCATATGATCTTTTTCACTAAATCGATTTGAAACATGTTGTACCTGTGAAAAGACATAAAAACTCAGAACAATCGGGAGTTAAATGGATTAATGCAGTATGAAAATGGATTTAAAACGTAGCAATTATATGATACGATTTCTCGTTATCATTGGGGAAGTCTGAGGTTGAAGCCCACCTGACTACTAAAGGAGGGATTCGAGGATTACCAACTCAATTTTTATTAGAGAAAGCTCGTTACTTTGCTAGGATGAAGAATACAGTCGCTTTTGAGGCCATCTTTGCTCTACTTGCTTACGGGTTATTCTTATTTCCTAATGTGGACAAATTTGTTGACATTAATGCTATCAGGATCTTCATGATTGGAAACCCAGTTCCTACATTGTTGGGTGATACTTATTACTCTATTCATATTCAGGAATCTTATCATGGGAGGATGATCATCTGTTACACGCCTCTGTTGTACCAGTGGTTTACTTCTCATTTGCCCTAGTCTGATGCTTTCTAGGATGCCCGGAAGGAACCCCGTTGGGCTCCTAAGATCATGGAACTTACTCACTCAGATATTGTTTAGTATCATCAGGCTTACCATGATGTAGAGATTGTCGATAGTTGTGGTAGTTTCCCCAATGTACCTCTTCTTGGTACAAAGGAAGGAATTAACTATAACCTTATTCTTGCACGATGACGGCTTGGTTATCCGATGATGGATAAGCCAAATAGTATTGATTTGAGTAGTTTCTTCCTGAAAGAGGGAGAAAACCATAAGGAAGCTAAGGAGAAAATTGTGAAGGCTTGGCGTCACATTCACAGGAAGAGTAGGAAAGACTTGGGACCCATATGGGATGTTTCTGTGGAGCCTTATCTTCAGTGGGTACAAGTGAAAGCTATTCAGTTGAAGATGTCGTATTCTCGAGAAGCACCTATGTCTGATTTGTTTATGAAGACCACTCCTCCCTTATTGGATGACGTGGAAGTGCTACAACTTGCTTTAGTCTGGATGTAGCAGGAAAATGAAACTTGGAAGAATAAGTGCCAAACTCTATAGATTTCCTACAGAGCAGACTTGAAGGAGAAAGATGACTTGATTGAGATTCTTGAGAGTCAGTTTGTAGAAACGATGGAGAGGCAAGGGTATTTATTTTCCCCTAAGCCTCGGTCAGATGCTAGTTTCTCACTTCCTAATTCATATGATTAGAAAGAGGTTGCCACCAGATACGCGGAAGAAAACATGAGGTTGAAGGCTCAGATTTCCAGACTTACAGGGAAGCACCAGCGTATAGAGTGATCTCCATCAGCTTTGTTTCTTAGGATTTTTAGAATTTACTTTCATCTTGTACTTGGGATTATTGAAACTTGTAATTTATTTTGAAGTTATAATAAAATTTTTCAGTATTTCAAATGTGTTATTACTTTGATATTTGTAAAATTATCTATAAATCTTTAAGTCCCTCGAAATATTAATAATAAAATAAATCATGTGCATTGCACATCATGCATTATATTGTACATACTTCTTGCATTTTTTGCGTATATCCAGGGGTATTACTGAGCTTCTTTACTTTGTTCAGCAAGCTGTCTCACCGGTACAATACTCGGGCTAATTTCAGAAGGAAGATGGACAACCTAGAACAAGAGAATCGCCAGCTGCGCGAGGAAGTTTCTGCTCTGAAGGTCGGTATGGCCAATCTCACTGCTCCGATGGAATCTTTGGTGGCTGCTCAGAATCAGCCACAGATTGCTCAACCTCAATAGAAAATGGTTACTATTGAAGCTCCAATTGTTCCTGTGTATGCTATTCCAGCTGTAGTTCAGAATCGCATGCCTCAAGGTTATCCACGGGGAATGCTGGAGAACTTTGTGCCAGAGGGTTTTAATCTTGATCCTCAAGTTACTCCAGTTTTTCAGACTATTGTTACTCCTGTGCCTCTTGTGGTGCATGTTAATCCTGGTGCACCTCTCTTGGTGAATGTGGTCATGTTTGCTAATGATGATGTGTATCGTTCTTTTCCTCCACCGAGTGAAGGCTTGGGTCTCTATGATCGAATGGATGATTTTCAGGATCAGTTTGACAAGATGCAGAGGGAGATGAAGGCCCTCAAAGGAAAGGAATTTTTTGGGCAGAATGTGAATGATTTATACTTGGTCACGAATGTCAAGATACCTACAAAGTTTAAAGTTCCAGAATTCGAGAAGTACAAGGGCAATACTAGTCCTCGTGCTTATCTTACGATGCATGTAAGAAGAATGTCTACCCACACTGATGATCAGCATTTGTTGATTCACTTTTTTCAGGATAGTTTGACTAATGTTGCGTTAAAGTGGTACATGAGTTTGGACAATGTCAACATTCATACTTTCAACGACTTGGGAGAAGCATTTATTAGAAAATACAAATACAATATGGACATGGAGCCTGACTGTGATCAACTCAGGGCCATGGTCCAGAAGGACAAGGAATCATTCAAAGAATATTCACAAAGATGGCGTGAGGTAGCTACCCAAGTGATTCCTCTAATGGAAGAAAAGGAGATGACTAAGATTTTCATGAAGATTCTGGGTGCTTGCTACTATGAGAGGATGGTAGCGAGTGTGCTAAGTGACTTTACTGAAATGGTAGGCATGGGTATCCGTTTGGAAGAGGCTCTGAGAGAGGGTCGTCTAACAAAAAGTGAAAGTTCTAGAGGTATGATGAAGCCATCATATGGGTTTGCCAAGAAGAAGGAAGGAGATACCAATGTTGTTATTCAAGAGAGAAGGGTTAACCCCCCTATAAGAAATTATCAGCGTCATTAACAGGTCGCCTCAGTAACTCTAGTTGTTGGTGTGGCTCCAATCACCCTTTCTTATAAGAGATCATCCCATCAGGGGAATCAAGGGTATAATCAGAGGAGGGAGAATTATGACCCTATCCCTATGATCTATGCAAAATTACTCCCGGCGTTAATTCAAAAGAAGTTGGTTCAGACCAGACCACCTCCTTCTATACCATCATCGTTGCCTTGGTATTATAAGGCAGACCAAACATGTGCTTTTCATCAGGGAGCACCAGGGAACAATGTTGAGAACTGCTATCCTTTAAAAACCGAAGTACAAAAATTGGTAAGGTATGGTTTCTTATCCTTTAAAGATGTTGGCCCGAACGTGAAAGATAATCCTTTACCAAAGCATGAAGGAGCAAATGCTGTGAATATGGTTGCTGGTTGTCCAGGCGACTTCCAGATTTTCGATATTAATTTGGTTAGAAGAGATTTGGTAAAAGTGCATGCTGACCTCTACGAGTTTAGTTACTATACACATGACCATGCTGGTTGTGGTATTTGCAATATAGATATACATGGTTGTGATAAGATAAAGGCTGATTTGCAAGAGATGATGGATAAGGGCTCAAAATTTTGGGTAAGAATCATAAATATGAAGAAAAAATCTTTGAAATCAAGTTTTAAGGATTTTGAAGGCTCAAGTACCCGATGGAAAGGGAACTTATCTTCTAAAAACCAAAAGCTCTTCATCAGAAGTAAATGTCAACAATCAGTCTACAGATCACCAACTGAAGTTGTCATCTAAAAGACAACCGCTACAAGTTGTTATGGATCAAATCAACATTGTCTTGAGTAGATATGTCAAATACCTCTAAGAATATCAAGCCTTCTCAAATATGCAGACGTAGATGAAATTCTCAAATAACTGAACAATAAAAGTTTCTTAAAAGTACAAAGCAATTCATTCCGGGTTCATCTTGAAATCAAAGGATAAGTCACGAATTCTAATTCAAATCGTAGGGCATGTTCATCATCCAAATATTCATTCAAATACTTATTTCGATGTTCAAGTTTCAACTATATACCAGGTTCAAGATTGTCATTAAAATTCATGCAAGTTTAAGCAAGTTCATTCATTAGAAACATCATTCTTCAAAGGAATTCAAAAGCTTATGTTGATCATTCTTGAAGGATCTTGAATTTTGGGAACAACAAAGAGCTATCATCCAAATTTCATTGGAAATTTACAAGATTAAAAAATCCAAATCTATTTATTACATCATGTCCATTATAAAGAATTTCAAGTTCACTATGAGAGGCTTACGTCATCCATACCATTTTAAAGTCAAAAGAGAAAAGATATGCAGTTTAGAAGAAATTCACTTGGATTGTATGAAGTTTTATTGAGTTCAAAGGTTTACAAGAAGCTTTGCATTACCATATCATTAAAAGATTATTCAAGCACATTTTCATTACAACTTATACTACATCATAATTATGGCCATCACTTTAAATCAAGAAACCACATGAAAAACAAATACGTTGAACCTAAACATAACCAAACTCATGCTCCAAGACAACCGTGCTTTTTCGCTTTAGCCATTTGAACTAACTGACAATCTATGAATTGCTTACACTTTTACTAAAATTCATGAATCACACCAACTTTCCATCAACCTACCTTCAATCAGGACCTACTTCATGCAATAACCTGTTGTAGCCTAACTATCATCACATAACCATACCTGCATGAAGTATTGGAAAAATCCCACATGTATCAAAACAAATCCAAAAAATATGATATATCATTGATGAATTCTGCCAAAACCGAACCAAAAGGGTTGCAAGCTATTACCTGGAGAAGCATCTCTGGTTTTCTTCTCCTCTCATCACCATCGTTGAATACACATCGGACGAACTCTAACAGATAAGCTTGACATCCTCTTTCCTTTCAACTCTCCATTCTGTATTGATGTGTACTCTTTGCGGAATCATGTCCTCCTCCCGAATGTATGAATGCTTGTTGGATTCCCTTTCGAGTTCATTTTGTTCAGAGGTTAGTAATCACGTTGTTAAGACCTGTTTAGGGAAAATAGAAAGTGAATTGGAGCTCAGAGAATTGAAGGGAGGGTTTAACTGTTCATTTCTCTGACCGGTGCAACAATATTGGCGGCTTGCAACCAGAGGAACGATTGATAACGGTAGAGATGCGTGAAACAAAAACGGAAGAAAATTGGAGAAGACGAGTTGAATCAAAACGGGATTGAGATGAAGGAGACGAAGGGAAAGCGATGATCGAAGAAGAAAAATGGCAGCGAGTGTGGTGGCTTGTAAGCTTCTACGACGATGCTGAATATTGAGAGGAAGAAGACGAGTGAAGATGAAAGGAGACAAATCTTTCCCTAAATTTCCAAACTACACATCCTCCTTTTTTTTTCCTATTTTTATTTTTTAAATTGGTTTTTTATTTTAATAAATCAATAAAGTAAGATAATGATGTTGAAAATAAAATACATGGACTTGGTGTTAATAGTCATGGACTGAAATTCCTGAGCCCATTACCATACGCTTTTTAACTTGCTGTCAAGAATTCTCTTGGACCCACTTTGGATTTGGCCTAACACCTCAAACTACTGGCACACCCATGCAGGCCTGTTACACCGTTTTTGGAGCCTTTGCTTTGAATAATAAAAAATTGGTTATGGATCAATTTTTTGACTGGGCTTAGATTCTCCTGGATCCACACATCCACTGCTTATTGCTTGCATCTCCTGATTATAATGTTTAAATTCTTCTATATTTCTTTTTATTGATATTTGCTAATAGAATTAGCGAGTTTTAGGAGATAATAAGAATAATAAAAATAATAAAAATAATAAAAATGGTAGAATATAATAGAATTTTTCTGGAATTTCTTTTTAGAGTTTTGATTAGAATTTTCTATTATTGTTTATCTTTAATAATCATTTTTGTTGCCATCTTTAGCTAAGATTTTGTGATAGTACTGAGGAAATCATTTGTGATGTGGAATGATAGGAGATTAATTCGTTTGATCACTTGCGCGAAGCTTCTGTAGAGTTTTCTTATCGCTTGCGGGGCTTTGAAGAGGCAACACACCTTCTCCGTTAGGTATCATCGTGACTTTATTTTATTCCTCATTTCTGCATTGTCTACTGCTTTCTGATGCCATGAGAAGTAGGAATAGAGATGCATGCTTTACCACTTTTCAAGATATCATGAGAAGTAGGAAATAAAGAGTGTGCACTCGAAGTCGCTGTTTAAAAGTCCTGTAGCAGGCATTCCATATTTATTTGCTACTCGTGATTGTGCTTATGTGTTTCCATCTTTTGTCGATTGATGATGTCACTCAATTAGTATAGAGATAATGACTTCGATCTTTGCAAGCTCCCCTTAGGATTTTATCTTTTTCCTTTGTTGACGATCAATGATGTCACTCAATTAGAAATGAGGTAACGACTTCGATCTTTGAATGCTCCCTTAGGGCTTTATTGTTTTCCTTTGTTAATGATCAATGATCTCACTCAATTAGAATTGAGATAATGACTTTGACCTTTGCATGTTCCCTATAGGATAGTTATCTCACCCCTAGGGTTTTGGTAAGCTAACATAGGTATACGTTTCCCTTAGCATTTTCTTTCTCTTTTGCATATGAATTAAAACTAAAACCTTTTTTATTTCAAATTCAAAGACACTCCAATGATACAAAAACCCTTTTTCAAGGTAAAAAACATCAACCAATCCAAACTCTTTTTGCCTTTGGACCTTTCATAGAAACTCTCAAAAGGATGTGTTAGTTCTACTTTAGGCGGTACGATGCGTAAATCCCCAAAGGTCGGGTTGCACCCATGTCTACTTGCCAAAAATTTATGTACGAAACATTATCCGCCTTTAGGCATTTTTCTTTCGAAGATACCTCGTCAAGTATGAGCATGCTAGTTCCTTTCTACTACAGACGCGTGTGTCTCCTAGGGTCGAGCAGCGGTAGAATGCGAAGCTTAGTATTGTTCCATTAAAAAATGCAAAACAAACAAAAAACATGTGAGTCGAACTACGATGCTCTGATTCCTCGAAAGGGATACATAGGCAACAGGTCGTGAGGCCTAACCAAGAAAAATTCGTAAATACTTCCTTCTTTTCCCCGCATTTTCTTTTGCATGCATTCTTCCTCAGTTGTAAGCAGTAGACATATATTAGACACACACATAAGATAGATAACAAGAATGGATACTGTAGAGTACTACGGGCGTGTGGGGTGCTAACAACTTCCTCTCGCGTAACAGACTCCCTTACCCAATCTCTTAGTTGCAAGACTGTGACTTTCCCCTTCTCAGGTTTTATCGTTGTTCACCTTTCCCTTCATGTGGGATAAGAGACGTTTGATGGCGAATTCATTATTTAGTGATGTTCAGCCGGTTGTTTCAGTTGTGATGAAACTTGTCAATATTATATGACATGGATGTGGCTTGGTGAAGTGACCAAAATTTCAATTATGACACACAGATGAATTTGATGTAGATATGGATGATTTACTATAAGGTATTATTCGTGATAAGATTCTTTTAAGAGATGTCATGTGTATGATACTTTACGTAGTGACAAGAAAGATTTGTTATATATGGAGTGCACAGATTTTACACGATTGTTAGTAGTTTAAAGATAGTTTAATATGAAGGTAAAAAGTGAGTGGGCAGATAAAAGTATTACTTAATAGCTTGAATTGTTGAAAGACGTGCTTCTAGAAGATAACACATTGTTGAGTTGTAATTATAAGGCCAAAAAGATATTGTGTCCAATGGGTATGGAATATATCAAAATGCATGCATATTTTAGTGATTGAATATTATACATGATTGATCCAGATGATGATAATGGTGTAAGCAACAAGGGTCCTCCTACCAAGGTGATGTGGTAATTATCAATAATTCCAAGATTCATGGGAGTGTTTGCAAATATAAATGATGCAAAGAATATTATATGCCATGCAAATAAAATAAAATATGATGGAAATTTTTTCCAGGTAGATGACTCTTTCTAATGAAAGAAAATTGATTCATTGTTTTCGAGTTTTTGCCATGAGACAAGAAACCTTAGTTTTGGACTTTCCACTAATGGAATGAACTCCTTTGGTAATATGAGTACTAACTATACTACATGGGACAATTTTCTCATAATTTACAACCTATCTTTATGGTTGTGCATTAAGCTCAAATATCTATCATGATTTTGGACCCAAGACAACCAGGAAACAATGTAGATGTTTATGTGTAATTAGTACACTTCTTAACATTTATGGTAAGACAAAAGATAGTAAGAATGTATGTCTAGATATATGGTGGATATGAGTATATTATAAGACTTAACCCTATATGAAATAGGTAAAAGAACATATTTTCCGCACAACATGCCAGGCTTTGTTAAGAAAATAAAAAAAAAACCGAGTGTTTGCAAGTTACCCAAGTTACCCAAGGGTACTCATAAAATGTTAAGATACTTGTGTCAATGAAAATTTTCAAATTAATTACTTAAAATCTCATGATTTTCATGTCTTGATTCAATAACTTCTACTAGTGTCTATTCGTGGCATCTTGCCAAAAATGTAAGGAAACTATAATTAGATTGTGCTTATTCTTCAATCCTATAAGTAATAAATTCATTGATTCAGAAAACTTAATGAGTTTGAACATGAGGCTGCAATTATCTTGTGTCAATTAGAGATGTATTTTCCCCCATCTTTTTTTAACATTTTGGTTCACTTAATTATTCATTTAGCTAAAGAGGTTATATATTTTTGATATGGTTTATTTAAGGTGGATGTATCTAGTAGAGAAACAAAGAAATATTTTTAATGGGTATATGAAGAATCATCACCATCTACAAGTTTCAATTGTTGAAATGTACATCATATGAGAGGTTATTGTGTTTTGTTCAAACTATTCATTAGAAACAGACTCTATAGGAATTTATAAGTCTTGTCATCATGGAATATATGAAGGTAGATGTACTCGAGGTTTAAATGTTAATACAATGGCTCATGATGTAGTTATTCAAGCACATTTTTATATATTGCATAACGTTAGTGAAGTTCAACCTTACTTATCCGCTCATAATATACTTATTAAGGAAAATCTCTCTAGGATGAACGAAAAATGATTGTTGATAGAGCATAACAGTAACTTCATGTATTTGTTTAGTGAAAGGATTTCTAATAATGAGAGTGAATTTAAGACAATTAAATGGATATCATATATGCTTAAATTTAATATAATCACTTGGAGTGCATACGACATTAGTAAATTATCCTTCTATACGAAATCAAAGGATGATCGTAGTACCATACAAAATAGTGGGGTTATGGTTGAGACTAAATACATGTACTTATCTAGTTAAAAAGATAATAATATTGTAATGACATATAGATCGTACTCGGGGTCATTGAAGATATTTGAGAGATTTATGATGTTATATTTAAAGTTCCTTTATTTAAATGCAACGGGATTGACTGTAACACTGATGTACATATTGATGAATTAAGATTCACACGGTTTAACCTTCACAAGAAAGCTTATATGAATGAACAACTCATCATGGCATCCATGAAAAACAAATGTTTTATGTTATTGATCTTTCTAACAATTTATAGTCAATTGTTCTCAAAGAAAAACACATTACTTCTAGTGATGAAAATCAATATTTAACTCTTGATAATTTGAGACTCGTTCTTTCTCAACACACGTGCATACCTCATATGAAGAAAATGATTCACATGATGTGCATGTTACCATTATGATCATCAAGAGGTTTCTAGTTGTTTCCTGCATTTATCTCGCATTGGAGTGAAATCATTTTTTAGTTCACACTACTATAAATAACACATCTAACACCAGACGCAAAATGCATTTTACCTCGGCATTAGAAGAGAGGTAAATAAGATCGTCATAAAAAGTCAAGGGTGTTTTTTTATTAGCGCATGGGTTCGAAACCCAACTTCTGCACTTTTATTATTTACAAACACTAGCGCCTTTTTTATCTTGGTTTATTAAGAAAATCGAGGGGTTATTAATTTTTTATAATAAAACTCGTTACATTGTTTACCCAGAATATTACAATTCTTACACTGAAAAAAATTAATTATCCATGAAGATCATATGTTGGATCTTAAATTCCTTAATATTCCGAGGAAGATCAAATGCATGGGAAAGTCTTTTCTCCAAATAAAAAAAGGTATTCTTTATGGCTTTTGCTTGCATTTGTTTCTGATATGAACGAAAAAATGGGTTAGACAACAATAGGGCTAGATAAATAAATAATTTTTTGCTCAAATAAATACTTAAGAATACAAATCTTAAACCCAAATAATTTTCCGCTCTTGAAATCCATCGTAGAGAACTATTCATGGAAAACACACTTGCAAACCTTAAACTCTTCATGATGTTGGATCTTCAAATCCTTGATATTATGGGGAATATAAAATGATGGGTGCATAATATTCTCTATGGCTTTTGCTTGCACTTGTTTATGATATGAACAAAAAAAGGTTACATAAAAAAGGGTTAGATAAATAAATGGTTTTTTGACAAAGACTCTTGGAAATCTTAAAGTAGAGGATAGTTTCAAGCGCTTCATGATGTTTCAGAATGCTTTTATGATATCACTAATGGTAAAGTCTTGAGTGTTGATAGTCATGAAATGGACGACAAGGATTTGATTAAGGATTTGATAAATATCCTCAATTTTAACGCTAAATGTCCTCTCGGTTTTTAGGAAAACCTACGTGTGAGAACGTTTAATTTATAAATAAAAAATACAATTAAAATAAAGGTTCCAATTTTAACGCTCAAATAAAAAATTAAAATTAAAATTACAAATAAAAAATCCAATTAAAATAAAGAGAGGTTAGAACACCGACGTGGTGCGCATGCATTAGAATCATATTACTATAATAGCAATGATCAACTATATTTAGTCGTAATGTCTCTTTTGGATTATCAAGGAGGCTTTTGAGCTATTTAAACGTCTAATTACCAACTCATTGTGTCTTCAAACATTATTTCAAAGTATTTTCATATTTTCAATGTCTCATTACCAACTCTCTGTGTCTTGTTTCCTTGTTTCAAAGTCCTTGTTATTCTTATAAAAAATGGATGCAAATCTATTATTCATTATCAATAAAAAGTATGTTGATTTCAATGGTTTCGATCACTTTGAACTAAGGAAAGTTGTTAACAAGAAAATTTTGAATGGTTACTTTCACATTCTTCATGGCCCCATATACACTAATCTCATTAAAGAGTTATGGATGAATGCCTCTGTTGTGTCAGCTGGTCATGATGAAGTCATCCAGTCCTATGTCAATGGCTCTCATTTCTTCATTATTCCATCACTAACTACTATGAGAATCAATTGTCAAAAGACAAGTAGTTATGTTGAAAACTATGAATTCAACAATGTCTACTCAATCCAACTTTGCCGAATTTATGTCAACCAAAAGAAACTCTGAAGTCCTACTTCTCTACTCCCAATTGCAAAATTTTGGCTTCTAGTGACAAATCTCCTCCCAAGAGAGAAAGATCTAGACACGCTTACTTGGTATGACGAGCATCTCTTGTTATTCCTCACCTACAATATTAGAGTTAATCTTCCTCTAACCATTTTCAACATGTTGAAGGAAATGATAAAGACTTCTCCGGAGGAAATGAATTTCTTCATATCTTATAGAAGAGTTCTTTCTGAACTTTTTTATAAGTTAGGGATAGTTAGGGGTAATGTTGAAGTTGAGTGGACTGAGAAGTTTTAATTTGTTGAGTAGTTTTCTTTGCTGTGGTTTTTTATTATCAATAAAATATTTCTTTTTTTATTATTGCCTATTCTTGTTTATTGATGACAAAGATTTTGAGCATTACTAATTAACAAAAAAAAAACTCGGCATCTGGAAAAGACTCCAAGTGATAAATCGTTAAAAACAGTTTTAAATGTAGCAACGGGGATTCGAAGCAAGGTTCCTTATAGCTATATTACCTCGGTTCTCAAGAAAATCAAGATAACATGTTTATTATGTTTTTATGGATAAAAAAAGGTGCTAACTTATAGATGTATTACCTCGGTTGTTTATAACACTGACGTAACATGTTGTTTATCTTATTAAAAAATAAACATTTCTCTCCCAGGACACATCCTCTCGGTTTTTAGCATGTTGGAGATGAAAGTTTCGTCATAAAAAGTGTAATTTGTTATAGTTTCATCTGAAATCAACTCATTGAAATGTTCTAAGATCCCTAGAACTTCCTTTGAAACTGTTGTTTCCTCATTTACAACACTTATCATCCCTATAATAACCACTGTGTAGCGGTAGAAATCTTTAAGACTAAGCCATTGGATTGACTAGACTTGTACAGATCAAAATAAAAATCTCCACTGCGCTTTATTATTTCTAAAGAAATGGGAAAAGAGCAAATAACCCAAAAGCGGGGGAAAGATTCAAGGTAAGGGGGTTGGTTATGCAAAGGGAAGGTATTAGCACCCTAAACATCTATGGTACTCCGCAGGGACCTCTTTGTAAAATCTGTATATTTTGGCTATAAAATGTTGTATAAAAATAGATGGTGGAAGTGAGAAAAGAAGTATTTTTTAAATGATTTTTGCACCCTCCGCGGTTGTGAACCTTTAGTGCCTACGTACCACCTTTCATGCAATAGGGGATCAGGGTACACGTAGTTCACCTTTAAAAAATTTAAAACACAAATGTGTTGGTTAATTTTATGAGATAAGACATCACCGTCATTGTCCGTGTGGAAAACATACTTACCACCCACAATTATGAGAAAGGAGAATTTGCATCATCTCAAAGTGGAGGATATGACTTGGATTTTAAAATCAACAATGCCTCACTCAACACCCAAGTGGAAAATATCTCACTTCACTATATATTGTAGAATTATAATTGTTTGCATCACTACAAGGATTGACAAGAGTCTATTATTTTGAGAAAAGTTTAAAGTAAAAGCCAAAGTGGCAAAATAGTTTAAAATGAGATTGATTACTTTAGTCTTCTCACAAAAAATGTCAAGGTATTATTAAGTTTATTGAAAAAACAAGAAGAGTTTTCAAAAGGAGGGAGAAGATTTTTAAAATTAAAGAAGATGGGGGGAGAAGAAGAGACTATCCTAAAGCATAAGGTAAAAGCTAAGGAGAAGAATCATCTAACCAACAAGAAGCCAATACTTGACATTATGAGTCAAGATAGAATTCCCATTCTTTGGGTTGAAACCAAGCAAGCAAAGTACTATACCTCTTGAGAGAACTAAACTTCAAGTGTATTAAGTCTTCACAAAAATTGGGCAGAGTAACGGCTGTATACGGGTGAATTCTAGATTACAACCAAAGTATGTAATCAGAATAACCCGCACACAAAACTAACAAACAACCTAATGTCTTGAGGTAAACCTCAAGAACTCCAAATAAAATATCAATTATGGTCACAAGGTCTCTAACATAGGCCACAGTTTCTAATCCTAAGTCCAAGAAGTCCAATACTCCATAATGCCAAGGATATTAAATAGTCCAAGTATCATTAAAGTTTTTTATGGTTTATGTTTATTATTAAGTATCTTCAAAAAGAAAAATAAAAGCTCAAGTGAGCAAAATGAAAATAGAATGAAATGTAAATGCTAAAGTAAATAGTATAAAAAGCATAAAAATAAAAGCATAAAGTAAAGTCAATTGTTAATAATTAGTGGTTAGTTGGATGACCATCTTGAAACTTGCATTTGGAACTCATTAGAGGATTGGTAGAACCAAAGCCTCTCAACAACAAGTTGCATTTGCTTTTTGTCAAATATATCATCCATTTAAGAATTCTCAAGGCAACATTTAATGATCAATGATGTTTAAGTGATCCGCGTTGACCAAAATTTATGAAGATCTATTAGAGGATTGGTAGAACCAAAGCCTCCACACAATGAGTCTCAAGGTTATTAGATCAAAGGGATCAAATTAACATACTTGGGCTTGCAAACATAGGTTTGGGCCACAAATGATCATTTATTTGAATCGGGTAAAAATTTAGCACTATGTTAAGCAATCGTAAGTGGACTTATGTAGAAGTCGCACCTATTTTGTGGCTGGTTAATAGCAATCTATGTATTTCATGTTTGGATAAATGATATAGATATCATTATCCCATACCATGTAATACAATAAGAAAGGGGAATAAGATGATGAGGGAAGGGATTAGAGTTTCAAATATCATCAACATCATTCGTCCTTTTTAATGGATTTGGTTTATCAACCTATCAACAACCAATACCCAATGATGTTGAAGAATTTTCCTCAAGATATGCTCCAAGTCAGTACCACATGCTATTTCAAAAATCTAACAAGAATCATGTACAAAAGTTTTCAATTTACAAACATTGTTCAAAGGGAAAACCCTAAATGCACACCTAAGACAATAATATTTTTAAAATATGAAAATGACTTGAAAAATTATGAAATTAAAACCCTAACTTCCTAAGGTCCTATAAAATTCAAAAATAAAATTTGGAGTCCATGAATTAAGGTGGAAATTTGCTTTAGAAATGAAAACTTGGAGACTAGTAAGTTTAAGCCTTAAACTAGATGGTTTTGGAAAATAATTTGTGAAAAATATTAAATCACATTGTAAAATTCCATAAAAATGATTTTTATGGCCTCAACATGTTCGAGCACTATAAAACATTTCATTTATGATTTTATAGGTATAGGAAGTTAAAAATTCAAATCCATTAATGTGCATGATCATGCAAAAACCCTAAAAAGAGAAAATAGGTTCAAAAATTAATCA